CTATAGTTCAGACATTTTGTTCTCCATCTGTCCTTTTTCTGTGCCTTGATGTTATTTATGTCCACATTTAGACATGTGATTGTGCGGAATTCAAACCACAAGTTTGTGTTCTCACTGAGGACGCATCCAAGTGTCAACTCCGGGACTATTGCCTTCAGTTTACCACAGGTGAGGTTCACAGTTCAAGAGAAACCAGAAGGGTTCTGTGGAAGAGATCAAAATAAATTAGGAAATGATTACTGTTCTATTAACATTTATTTAAAACAGACACAACACTCCAACTTCTTTAAGAAGCTCTGATCAACACTGCTATTTTCCTATAAGCAGAAAGCAGATGTAAATAGAACCTTACTTTTCACTTTTTCTAAATGTCTGAATGTGTTACTACTCTTTCCTGTTTCACACTGCCTGTCTCTTCCTGCTTTCGCTTCATCTGTAAAACTGGCAGCTACCGCAGCACACAGGTACTACAGCAACCTCCTCAATATGGTCTTCCTTTTATGTTGACACCTAATTTGTCTTTTCTGATCAACTGATTATAGAGTTATGTTTGTGATGTATGTATGATGAACGTGAGTAAAGGTGTTGTGAAATAAGACCCAACTTATAGAGGAATTTTGCACCAATGTCTCTGTTGTCCCTGCTCTTTTTAATCCTTTGGTCACTGCTTTTTCTTTCTAATGAAATGAAAAGAAATGAGACCAAATCATGGATTTTGTCTTTTTTTTTTTCACAGCGAAAATGGGCAGGTTTGTCAATTGGCCAAGAGATCGAGGGTAAGCTTTGCATATGTGGGATGAGAATGGGGATTTTTCTAATGTTTTGTTATAATGGTAATCTAAAAAATAAATGGTTTGAGGAAAGTTTCTATTCATCCTATCACAGTGCAGAAACTTTATATTTAAGGATGGAGATTTTAATCTGTCATGGTGATTTAGACCAAACTGATCATCATTCATAAGAATGTGAATTTAAGTGACTGTGAATAAGCCTTTAAAAAAACTGCACTACAATTGGTCACACAGTATATTCATTCTTTTTTCTTCTCCCCCTTTAGTCACAAACTACAAGTTTGACAGGTCCAAACAGTGTGTCAGTACCATGACAGTGGAGATTGACTTCCACAATAAGAAGATGGTAGACAGTAACCCATATGACTCTGACAAGATGGCCAGTGAATTTGTCCAGCACTTCAACAACCAGGCCTTCAGTGTGAACCAGCAGGTGTACATGTCTTTGAAGAATTCACAAGGAGACAGTTTTATCATCAACTCTTTATGTTAATGCATAATTCGACAAATCAAAATGTCTTCCTTTTTCTTGTTTTCTTTAGCTGGCATTTAGTTTCAGTGATAAACTGTTCAGCCTGTTGGTGAAAGATATGGAAGCCATGGATCCCAGTATCCTGAAGGGAGATGGTGGTGGCAAGAAGCAGAAGGTACATGGAGAATAATCTGTCTGTCTTGGTGTTCATGAACCTCAGTGTCGTAGCTTTATTTTATGTCTTAAGCCTACAGTGAAGATGGTTATTAGCCTTAGTTTAAGTAGTTTCTGTTTCCATTTTTCAGATTTCAATTGGTTTGCTGCTGGGAAACAGTCAGGTTGTTTTTGAAAAGTCAGAGACCTCGTCTGTATCTCTAATTGGTAAGTGGTAGTTTTACCCAATAAAACTAAACTAAGTAATACTGTAAAATAATAAACCTGTCTAACCCTTATAGCTGAACTAACACATACTTCTTCCTGCCCCCTTATAATAAGATGTTGATAAAACCATTTTACAGAAGGAAACATATGTGTATATCCACAAGAGGGCAGGGTTTACACATTTTGCTTGACTTGTTTCTTTGGAAATCCAAAAACTACTTCTACTACCACCACTATTACTACTACTACTACTAATAATAATAATAATAGTGATAATAATAATTGTTATATTAATAATGTATTTTCAGTTTCACTAATTAAGCAGAAATACAGCATTACCCTGACGTTTAGAAATTCTTTTTTTTTATGCACGATCAACACACTCCAGCTGTAACCAGGCTGGATTGTAAACCAGCAACCCTCCAAATGCAAGCCTGGGCCTACAGCCTTAATCATATGAGAAGCTATAAAGGCATTTTACATTTGTTAGTCTCTCTCTCTCTGTGTGACTTCAGCAGCTCATCTGATCCATTTTGTAACAGTACAACTTTAAAAACCTTAAGTTAGACAGACAATAAAACAATGTTTGATTAACACATACAAATGTTGGTGGTAAAATGACACATCTTTATGTAATCAAAACGTATGTAACATAACATGAATAGTTTAAGTCCTCTATGTTTGTATAATATAGTTAGTCTATATATTATATTAATTATTCACTTTTAATCAGAAAATGCTCTTTGTTGTCCTTTAGGAAGATCCAAGACCAGAGAGTCACGTCAGTCCATCATCAACCCAGAATGGAATTTTGAGAAAATGGGGATTGGTGGTCTGGACAAGGAGTTTTCTGACATCTTCCGTAGAGCCTTTGCCTCTCGAGTCTTCCCTCCAGATATAGTCGATCAGATGGGTATGTTTATTAATTTTATATTTAATTACTATACTTACTTAAGTATACTTACTTAATTATAATTGAGTTGCAGTTAAATAAGCAAGTTATTTGTTTAATATTTTTGTTAATATTTAAGTTAATAGTTAATTAAGTTAAGTTAATTAGCAGCACAAATAGAAGTCGCAAAACTCACAAGTTATTATTGGGTATGGAAGGGAATGGAAAAAAGATGAAAAAAACACCAAATATCTTAATTTAATCAGTGATAAATTAAGTGAATAAATTACACAACTTGTTATTCCATTTTTAAGGACTGTAGCAACTTTACTGCATTTAGGGTGTGTTCTTTTCTGTTCAACTCAGTTCCAGGGACACAGTTTCTATCTGGGTCTGAAGATAGGTTTAATTTGCTGCAGATAATTATTATTTTTATGTATCCTTCATTTGGTTGTTAATCCTTAAATCAACATGACTGTGTTGCAGACATTATTAAATCCTCTGAGATTCACTTGACTTTCTGAATCAGCAAATGCTCAGAATCAGTAACTGACAGTCAGTCACGCCAGCGTTTATCTGCTCCGCTTGGACCGTGACTAAAAATTCTGGCATCCTCCGACACTGATTCCTGCACACACTCATTAATGGGCCTCTGACAGCTGTCATATTATGGTGATGATTCACTCTTCAGAGAGCAGCAGCTCAATTTAATGAAAGCCATCAGCCTTCAGTCTGACTCAAACACAAAAACTATTCTGTTCCTATACGCATGCTCTACCAATTACAGCAGCCATAATCCTTGTGTTTTCATTTAGAAGTTATGCGAAAACCTGTTGTAACAAAATAGACGCCCAGCAAATGCAAACTCAACTCTAATTTGGCATGCAACTAAGCTCCACACCTATATTTCTGCAGTGCCTGGGGCAGTGTCCAGCAGTGTGGGAGCTGACCTTTAGCTGGGTGGTTGCATGCAGGAGTTGGCCTTTGGCTGTATACAGATGGTGGCTGTAATGAGATGGCATGCCTTGATAGAGCGCCCTGCTAAAGGTAAAGCTGTTATTGGCAGAGACGCGGAGCACAGGTGCTGACGGACCAGTTGTGTGCATTTGTGCATTGTGCGTTTGTGTGTGTTGGAGAGAAAGTTTCACCTCATCCTCTCTCTGCAGACACACAGAAGCTTCAGTCCTTTCACTCACAAAGCCCAACACGACTCCATCACCTCCCCCACCTGTCATCCTGGCTGCTTTCCCTTCAGCAGGCCCAAATGGCACCTCTGATGCTTATCTGGGGGCCTCTCATTTAGTCTGGGCACAAATGTCATCAAGCAGGTGCAAAGGCCATTAGAAGACGTACACTGTAAACTTGGTGGAGTGGAGATCTGATAGTCAGCACACTTCAACGTTATAAAGAATTAAACAAAGGAAATCCCAAGTGTTGTGAAGGGAACTGCCACAGGCCTGTCATTGGTTATAATGCTGACTTCTATATGGGAACTGCAGATACAACTGACTAGAATGCACTGATATGGTCCAGTCCTGAAATATCCAGCAGATGATGACGATGAAGAAGTAAATATTTAACACTGCCTGGTTGTGCATTTGTTTCCAGGCTGTAAGCATGTGAAGGGAATCCTGCTCTATGGACCCCCAGGCTGCGGTAAGACCCTGATGGCCCGACAGATTGGCAAGATGCTCAAGGCTCGGGAGCCAAAGATCGTCAACGGCCCAGAGATTCTCAACAAGTATGTTGGCGAGTCCGAAGCCAACATCAGGAAGCTGTTTGCAGACGCTGAGGATGAACAGAAGAGGGTGAGATAAGGACCAAGTACCATCAAATGTGTCAAAATATAATTTTCATCGGATACACAGTCTGAGTTTTTAAAAAATAATCATATTTGTGCAGGTTTTACCCTCTCTGCCCTTTATTCTACATTTAGGTTGATTAATAGTTTACTGGTTCTAAGATAAGTAAAGGCTGATCAGTGTTCTTCTGTCATCACAATAAAAGAAAAACTAATTTCTTCAGGAGTGGAAAGATCTGCCCTTTAAATAGAGAGTTGTAATAACTTCATTATAGTTCTTTTTTGTGTTTGTGTGTGTGTGTGTGTGTGTGTGATGTCGATAGGGAGGGTGTTTATTCACCGAAACCCAGCAGTGATGCTATGTTTGAATGGTGAGACACTAGTGTCGAGGCTCACTCTTCACCAACTAATGAGGGGCTGGATTGTCTTTGACCCCCTGTTAGACCTCCCTACACACACAGACACACACACACATACACAGATACTCCTTCCAGTGTGTAATAAGGACAGCTCCACACCTGCCTTAAATGCTATGTCTTAGACTGATGGGAGTGTAGATGAAGTGATAACCCCCACCCTGCAGCTCTCTTACTTTCCATCTGTCTCTGTGATAATAGTCACTCTGTGTAAATATATTTTTTCTTAGTATTTTGAAAAATGTATTTTGCATTTAATGATGATATCGTGTATTCTGTCATTCCACTGAAGCTCTTCCCATGTAATGTGAAAAATAATTTTCTCACAAAAATTCAATTAGTTCAATATTTACTTCATTCAGTTGCTATTTGAAAGTAACAAGGTCTTTAAGATTAAACGAGTCTCAAAGATTTGATCTGTTTGTCAGTAAGTAATCATTCAATCACATCTAGTCATGGCCACAAAAAAATGTTTGAGTTGAAAATATTTTATTAGGACTTTGCACAAACACTATGTTGACAATTCCACCACTGTACAGCATTATCAAGAAGCAGGAAACTGCTATTTCAAGCTCATAAACACATTTGCGTTCTCTCTCCTCTTTGACTTACTACCAAATAGCTGGGTGCCAACAGCGGACTACACATCATCATCTTTGATGAGATCGATGCCATCTGTAAACAGCGGGGCAGCATGGCAGGCAGCACAGGAGTCCACGACACCGTGGTCAACCAGTTACTGTCTAAGATTGATGGAGTCGAGCAACTTAACAACATCCTGGTCATAGGTGCTCAGACTGCAGTCATAAACATGTCGTCCCTGAATATTTGTACTCTGTCTCATTTGTCCTCTTTTCTCTGCTTTGTCTCTTTTTACACCCTCTGTCCATAGGTATGACTAACCGGCCGGACCTGATAGATGAGGCCCTGCTGAGACCTGGAAGACTAGAGGTGAAGATGGAGATTGGTAAGAACTGAAGAGCACATTTGTAATGTTTTATTTTTTTTCTTGAAAGTTACTAAATAAAAGTTTTTGTAGTATAATATGTATCATGTGGTCAGCTGATACACTTTTATATAATTCTTGTAATAATAATTATTAATTAAAATAATTTTAATCACAGGCTTACCAGACGAAAAGGGCCGCATCCAGATCCTACACATCCACACAACAAAGATGCGACAGTACGAGCTTCTAGCCAGAGATGTGGACATTCAAGAGTTGGCTGTAGAAACAAAGAACTTCAGTGGTGCTGAACTGGAGGGTTTAGTCAGAGCAGCACAATCAACTGCAATGAACCGACATATCAAGGTCAGAATGGGGCATGTTTTACATTTTTGAACATTTATACAGTTTTTGCATATAATTCAAATATGCACTACCTATAACACTGCAGTTGTATAATAATCTCAACACAGATATTAAGACTACGTTAATATTGTAAAAACAAAGCTGGACATGCAGATAAGGTGAGGTTCCCACAAACAGTCAGCGGCACCCAGAGAGCAGCAGATATTGTAGGGTGATGATAAATAACAGACAAGGGCCTTACACACATCTCTCATGACTGACGTTTTTCCTCAGCTCTTCTCCTCCCCCCTGCCTCCTCCTGTGACCTTTTGTCTCTGAGTGGGAACATTGTCTTCTGACACGATCTGTGATTTAAATGTGCAATCATGGCAGGGAATTTTGGCATATATGTAAAAACAAATACATAAATATAAATAATATATATATATAGCTTTAACTTTTTTTGTGTATTTGTGTTTCAGGCCAGTAATACTGTGGAGGTAAACATTGAGACAGCGGAGAAGCTGCTGGTCAGCCGACTGGACTTTATGGCCTCGTTGAATAATGACATCAAACCCGTAAGTCCTGTGTTGTGTTGATAATTGAGCCCAAAAGAGTCAAGGAAAAGGAAATTTCATTTGTAGAAGTTTGAGCTGAAGTCCATGACAAAAATGGAAAACAGGAAATATAAAATATCACTAACCTTAACACTGTCTTATCTGTGCCAGCCATGGACAATTAATAAAAACAAAATCAACACCGGTAGCTGATGATTTCACTGCAGAGCATGTGTAAAGTGTTTTTTGTCCTCCCCCAGGCCTTTGGCACCAACCAGGAAGACTATGCCAGCTACATTATGAATGGTATCATTCGATGGGGTGACCCAGTGTCAGCAGTGTTGGAGGATGGAGAGCTGCTGGTTCAGCAAACAAAAAACAGCGACCGAACACCACTTGTCTCTGTTCTCCTGGAAGGTACCACAGGAACATCTGGTCACGCTAACCTGGGGTCAAATAGCCCCAATGAACAACAATTTTGATTTTTTTTCCAACTCTGAGACTCTAGTGTGAACCCTGGACTGTTATTTTTTGTTAGGTCCACCCAAAAGTGGTAAAACAGCGTTGGCCGCTAAGATTTCAGAAGACTCCCAGTTTCCCTTCATCAAGATATGCTCCCCCGACAAGATGATCGGGCACTCTGAGATTGCTAAATGTCAAGCTATCAAAAAGGTAACACCTGCACATAAATAATTTATATATAGTGTATTTATTGTCATCTATGTTCATTTCAAAAATCATACCCTTCTTTTGCCTAATAGATATTTGACGATGCCTACAAATCCCAGCTGAGCTGTGTTGTTGTAGATGACATTGAGCGACTTTTAGGTAAGAAGGACAGTCCCAGAATTAGATGACAGACTGTAATAAACTGTGTTTTGTAATTTTCTGACAATTTCACCAAACATTGCATTCATTATATTAATTCCTAGGGTTGTTAAAATAATAATAATGTTTTAATCCACAAACAGAATGACAAGCATGGTATATTCAATAGATGACAGACTATTTATAATATTTATGAAAGTTCTTCATTTTCTTCATTTTCGTTTCTAGATGACAAGGACATGAATGTTCAGGGTTATCACAATTTATTGTACATAATCCATAGCTACCATTATGAATTATCAGATAAAAAATGTTAATCTTTGATGGCCTGATTAATTATAATTGTGCTTGCAGACTTTGTCCCAATTGGTCCTCGTTTCTCCAACCTGGTTCTCCAAGCTCTGCTGGTGTTGCTGAATAAACTGCCACCAAAGGTAGGAAAACAATTTTGCCGTCATTTGTCACACGTTCAATGAGGAGTTGTTAGTCTTGAAGCAGCAGAAAGAGGGCAGCAGATCATGTGGATGCCAGCACAAAATCTAGAGAGGAATTGTTGGAGGTCTCCGGCTGCGACTGGCATGTGTGAGTGTACGGTTATTAGCTAGTGTTTTCCTCCGGGCCTGTTGTGCTCACAGTGAATGGTGGTGGTAGAGAGCCATTTCTCATAGTTTCTTTGGTTTGTAGCTTGTGTGTGTCTGTTGTTGATGGGTTTGTGAATGAGAGTATAGCCCACTATATGGCTGCATGTGCATGAGAAGTGGCGTGGGGCCTGCTGTTGAATGCCTGGTCGCAGTGCTCCTCCGGGGTTGTAAAGCGCTGGGCTCAGCGGGGTGCCTGGGGCCAGGGGAGGCCAGGGGGACACGGAGGAGAAAGGGCTCTGTGAGAGAGCCAGGACCTGGCAGCACCACCGCCTGTGTGGCACCTCATCTGCATGCAGCATCACAACCCCCCACACCATGGGGGGGCCAGCCAGCAGCCATAATCCCCCTGTCTGCTCGCCACTCCTCTGCCTGTCCTCCATCCTCTTCTCCTGGTCCAGCTCATCAGCTTAGTGGAGCTACAGTTATTTCTTCTTTCTTCTTTGTCCTTAGTTTAGATGTGTCTTCTCTTCCTTTATACTCAACAACAGTATTTTCTTTTTTTTATACTGGGAACTGTTTACTTAGTTTCAATTAAAAAGAATCAAAAACTGAGTGAAACTCTGTATTCGTGGAACATTACCCAGAAGATTACAGGAATAATATTATTTCAGCAGTGGACTGATACAGAAATTGTTTTTGTATTATCCTGTTTACATCACTGCTCCTTTTTTAATTATTTCTTTATTGTTGTGAATTCTTAACAGCATTATTTGAAACATTTTTCCTTTGTTGTCATGACTAAAGTCCACAGATCTTGTCTACTTTCTTCCTTCTGCCATCACCATAACTCATCTACTTTTACTCTTTCACTCATGATTTCTTGGTGATTTCTTTCTGAGAAAACTAAGTTTTGATAATACCATACTCCCTGTCACCAGTATCTGCTGGTTTTTAGTGAACTTATTTAGTAAAATAAACTTCAGTTAACTACAGTATTTATTTAAAGAAACAAAACAAAATGTTAATTCTTATCTCTTGTCCTTCTCTGTCAGGGTCGAAAGCTGCTGATCATTGGTACTACGAGTCGAAAAGATGTTCTCCAGGAAATGGGGATGTTAGATGCTTTTAGCACCACCATCCATGTCCCCAACATCTCAAGGGGAGAACAGCTGATTGAGGCTCTGGAGGTATTTAATACACTTTTGCCTTTAACCCACTGAATAATTCCATTTATTGCCTTAATTATCTGTGATTGAAAAGATGATGGTTTTGTTTGCCTCTCGCTCTTCTTATTCTACTTGGTTTTTACTGTCCAACCTAAAAGGGCTTTTTGAAAAGTTTAGATTTTTTTTATTGTGGCAACTAATAACTGAACAAAGGTCTGAATAATATGCACATAAAATGACACTGAACTATAAAACTCAAAAAAATAGTCATAGGCAATGTCAAACAATTCCATTGTAAGAACTTCTTCAAATTAAAATCAAGTTATTTCATTTATGGGGTAAAGAATAACACAAGGCCACATCCAGTGTTTATATTACATTGTTAAAATGAAACTCGTTCACTATTCCACTCATCTGTCATTTGGACTTACTTTGAGTGTGTCACTCTCTCCCATTGCTCTTCCTACAGCTACTGGGCAGTTTCCACGAGAAAGAGCGGGCCTTGATAGCCAAAGCTGTAAAGGACAAAAGCCTCTGGATTGGCATTAAAAAGTTATTAATGCTGATAGAAATGGCTGCTCAGGTGAGAACAACATGCTCATTCTATGCATTTACTTTTTTTTTAAAACATATCACTCAGCACAGTAGTTATACGCAGGACATTGCTGTTCTGGTGGTCTCCACACTGAAACATCTTACAAATGGTTGAAGGGATTGTCAAGTTTTCCAAACAACTGAGCTCTAGGAATTTGGTAATCCCCTGATTTCAACTCTAGCTCCATCAGGAGGTTGTCATTTGCGGTTTTGAGTAAAATGCTGTGACAACTAAGCTTTGAGTTGCTATGAAATTTGGTGCAGACAACCACGATCCCCCTCCCCGCCTGAATCCACTCTGGTACTTGGGTTTATTACCAAATAGTAGCACAAGTGACTATTTACCCGTCACTATGTTGTGTTTTGTAGCATCTGGTAAACATAAGCCCGTCTACAGTGTCATTCTGAACATGTTTGCATTCTGACAGTAGCGTTTGGCTCACAGCACAGCAGCACCTAATTAAAATACCATCACAGACTAGAAACTGACACTCGATCACACATTGATCGGCCCTAACACAAACATAACTGCTGGTTTAAGATAATAGAATGGTCCACTAGATTAAAAGTACGTAAATCATGAGGCTGAACTTATCCTGTACCGTTCTTTACCCACATTCCAATTGGCTCGGCCTCTGTGTTGCTGCTTTTGTAACGGTGTGGTCTGAGCAGCCTGTCCCTCCTCTTCCTCTACATCTTGCCATCAATCTCAGCAATCAATGCAATCTGTCTCTCAGGCACAAAGAGAGCTGTCATATATCAACTGGAATGTAAAACAATGTGGCTTTGCTGATGATTTGTTGACCCTCCAAGATCCAGTACATTTTCAGTTCACCAACCATTCTCCAAGACGGTTGCGAATCAATACAGTCAGGCATATGAAACAGTGCTCTGCGTGGCTTTCAAGATCACATTAATGAGAACAATTTAGATCTCAATCATCCTATAAGGAAACAAACAATGTAGCAGGCTAACAGAAGTCCACTACAGACACCAGATTCCAGAACCGAGAGTGTTGTGGCAGATTCTTGGCTTTGGTTCAACATGCCAGTTAACGCTCTGTGTACATTCAACATTTTGTGGTTTGACAGAAAAGCAGCAGGAGTGTATTTTTTTACGTGTATTTTTCACATAAAACAAATCTATTTAGTCACTACACTTTCCCCCATTTTAATGTTTTTACTATTAGATTAAATTAAACAACAAATTAAACATAGGCCCGTACCCTGTCAGATACTCTCTTAGTCAAATGTCTTTTTTAAAAAAAATCATCTATGAACTAGAATCTTTCCTGCAAATCATATAATTACATAATAAAACCAGTATCGTCGACCACATGATGACTTGGACTGGCCTACATTAGAACATGGCTCTAAACGTTCCTATTTTAACATATGGTTTTCTAGTACTGTCTGATTGGCTGAGAAACATTTTTCCATTCCTATGGCAAAGAAAACCGGAATCCAAAATGTTTTGTTGGTTCTAAATCATTGGTAGAGCTTGTCAGGTTTGGTGCATTTTTAGGACTCTATAACTATGATTTAAGGGGGTGGAAACAAAAGAATCCACTGTGTGGAAAAAGTCAAAATAATAAGGAGATTTGGCAAAAAAAATTAGTGCATAAGACAAAATAGCCAACTTTTTGTTGTGTTGGGCTATCAGTCTAAAAAGCTTTAGGGAACCAGGGCCACTGCCAAACCATTTTTCCACATCAGTGGATGTCAAAAAAATTCTATTGTTTCTGTATTTAAAGTTTAAAATAAGTTTACGGAATATTTATTGATCTTAAATCTCTCAAAATATTTCAGCCTTTTGAAAATATAAAGAAGTGTGGGGGGGGGGGAATCGATGTCCTTGTCATAGTTGTGTTGTTTAATTGTGTGTTTTTTTGACCGGTTCATCAGTCTTTGACATCTTCACTGCTTGTACTGGTTCATGGTCTCTAAATTTTCATAAAAAATGTCTCCTGACTGTGTGGCCAGATCCCATTACCCACACTGTCAGAACATTGATGGGGTAATTTTCTGATTTTGTCTGACCACACTGGGCCAGACTAGACCAGTCTGACCAGACCATCACACAGTGAAATTAGTTTGTACTTGTGCGGTGCTGCTAATAAAGTTGGAAAGCTTGAGGTCTATATCCAGGTCATGTGTTTTAGCAAAAGTTATAGAACAGATTGTGAGTCAGCAGTCCCAAAATTCTGGTTTCCAACAACGGTTTTTAACCGAAGTATTTATCAGTCCTTTTACACAGCGCAGTTACTGCAGTTATTAAGGTAAACGGTACAACTGAAGCGAAGATTTGTGCTACTCTATTCACTGACCTCTAAAAACAAATCTGTGATCAAATGTATTTTCTTCCAACAAGTAAAAGTCTGGAGTCCAGTTTTCTGTTGTCCATCTTTACATCTCAAAGTAGCATCGATCAAGTTATTTAAATTTTGATTTTGATGTTTTGTTTTCTTTCTGTTACAGCACTTTACAGAAGATAAGTTTTATCTTCTAGATCAATCACAATTCATGGTGATTAACCCTGATAACGGCTACCTTGTGATTAATCAAATTAAAAATTGTAGTCTTTTGAAAGCTTTTCTTTCTTTATATCCAAAAGTATCTTGAAAACACTAAGAAAATTAGGAGCACTTGTACAAATGTGTAACAAAAATCAATAAAGTTTAAAATTCAACCTTAAACCAACCTCAATAAGGTTGTGCGAGAATCTGAAGATTTCTATGTGTTTTCACTAAAGTGAATTAAACTCAATGTAAAATCAAACAATTTAAGATTCAAACAGACTTTTATTTTTCACTTTAAAACTACAAACCACACTATTGTGGTCTGGCAAAGAGTAGGATTTCAAAAACATATATCCTTTTAATCCAACTGGACGTTCCCCGATCATATTTCATTGTCTCACCGCTGTCTGCGTGAGAAACAGCAAACATCACCCTGCACTGTCCAAATGTCGGCCGTTGTCCGAGAACGTGGACAAATTTTGTTTCTTTTTTCTCTTTGAAATCACTGAAGTTCACAGAGGTTTTCTCACAGACAGAAAAAGATCATTTTAATAGAAAATAATGTATAGATCTAAAAGACTTTTTTCACACCACACTTGCCTTTTGTCATGATTAAATGTGCTGTTGCCTTATCAAACACTTTCCACAGCTGTTTTTTTAATTGCCCTCACAAGAGGGATTTTCTCTTTGTTGACGGATCTCAAAGGTCCGCTCCACCAGCTTTCAGGTGTTTGTTTACTTGACAAAACAGGTAGCAGACTTGCAGCATGTAGCCGTGGAAACTGACCTCAGTCTAAGCCCATTAGCTGCCGTTCAGTGTCAGTGGTATGTTGATAATGTGTACAGCATATTTGTTGAGGCTGAATGCTGTGTAATTGCTGTGGTATGCACAAACGCAGCCATGTTCTACACCCTGCAGCCCCCACCTCCCCTCAAACACACCCCATCCACAGCCTGAAGAAGTGTCAACCAGGGTTTGCCGAGACATGCTGGAAAACACAACTACACACACACATACTGTCTGGTTTCCATGAGTTGTGAATTGTGTATTCCTTAACCCATTACCCCAACCATTACAAATGTCTGCCTAATCCTGATTCTAACCCTAACCTGGCCTTATTTTCAGTCCTCGTAATCTCAACTAAACCCGAACTTTAAAATAACCCTCTTACCTAGTGGGGACATTTTTCGGTTCCCACAATAGTGTTTTACCAAAAATGTCCCCTCAAGTATAGTTATTCCCAGACTACACACACACACACACACACTTTCAAAAGTAGTCTTCACTTCAGTTGTTATCATCTCTCCTCTCATTCCACTCTTGCTGACTGCTCTCATGCCTTCATTCTAGTAGCCACAGGCAACTGGAGAGAGACATACTGTAAGTTATTGCAAAGGTTGCCATTAATTTGACTTCCTTTTTCCTCCTCCTGTTTGTTCCCACTGCTGCACAAATCCCCAGAACTTCTTATAAGTTCTGTGATGTGCCAACACTTTTGGTTCAGGATTGTAAATTAAACCAATCTTTTCTCAAAAGAACAAAAGATTTAGTATAAAATGAAATGTTTTTTTTATCTGCTTGTCCTTTTTTTAGATGGATCCTGACCACAGAGTTAGCAAGTTCCTCAGCTTGATGAAGGATGAAGGAGCGTAAGTATTATTTTCCTGCTTCAGTCCTTAGCAGAACGAGACCATCGGTGACACTGACCACTTACATTATGTACACATCCGTCACTGGTGGAGCGAAGAAATGAAAAACCTACTAAGAACCGCTAAATGTTTACGTTGAGATCATTGTAGCAAAGTGTGATTAATAACAGACGGTTATGTTTTTTTTCTTCTTCAACACAGGCTGGTTTCTGATAAGTTTGTGGCGATATAGACTTGGAGAAGCTCCAGTGGGAAACGAAGCATCCTGCAGTGGTAAGAGCTGAATCAGCTTCCTTGTTACTTTTCCTTTTACAAGACTGAATATGCAGTAGATATATCTGTGAACTGTCGGCTCAGGCTAAACCTATTGGGCAAAAATATTCATTATGTATAAAGTTATTTCACAAAAAGTAACCCTGACTTTTTTTCTGTAGAAAACAGCATTTTTTAGAAACTCCAAGTTAGCTTTACTCTGTGTTTTTATTGGTAAATCTATTTTGTTCTTCAAAATATTAACAGTTAACTCCTACATCAGCCTACAAACAAAGTTTCGATTTTGTTTTTCTGTCCAAATCATGACTGGTCAAAAAGTTCTAAGATGGTCTGTATTTTAGGATGTTATATTTTCAAAAAGGTGTCACATTTTAATGACCTACATTACACATATATATTGTATCTTCACAAGTATTTATGTAGTATGAGTATTTTTTTTTTTTTTTTTTGTAAGTCATTTTGTGTTATGGAGTTATTAGGCTGCTGAAACTGAGAAACACACACACGTTGTGCAAATGTAGTGTCTAATTGAGAGCAATCTTTGTTCCACCTGCCGCAGCATGCATCACTTACAAAGACAGTAATCCCTTTCTTGTATCAAACTCAGCAGTAATCCCAGCAGTCAGCCCGTATTCCATGTTGCAATGACACATAGAAAAACATTTTTTTTTCATTTGTTTCAATTCCTCTAATCTGTTCTGCACATTTTCTGAAGACCAACAGTTTGTTGTTCAAGAGATTTTTTACAAAGTTTATCTGAATCAGGTTTCAGTGTCTTTTTGGCTTGTGCACCACAAGTATCATCTTCTCTGTCAGAGTCGAGTCATAAAAGCTCCTTATTGGCCAGGAAGCATCACCACAATTGTGGGTTTCCATTTGTAATCAGACTTAAGATGGTTTTCCCTTTCCACAAGTTTACCCACACTGGGTTTTTTCTTTATTATTCATTCAACAAAAAACGAAAACATATTCTGAGAAATTAATTATTTGCTAATGTTCCTAAACACTGGGCATGTAGTTTCCCTGCAAGGGGAGCTGTAAATGCAGTGTAAATATATATTGGTCTATGCATTGAGTGGACGTGTCAAACAATACTGTCTAATTATATCAATTACGGTAAAAAGGTTTTCCAGAAAAACAAAAACATTTAAACTAGGTGTTGATCACTTGGTACAGAAAATGTACCGTCTGCCAACTCAATTGATCACTGCTGCTGTAGACCTCCGAGTTTGACCTAAACTTTGAGCAGCTTTCCAACAATATCAATTATTTTCTTTTCTATCTTTTTGAGGTCATGTTCACGTGTTCTTTATTTTGTGCCGAAACGTCCTGATGACGTCCAGAAGATGAAATGATGAGATGATGAAAAAAGAAAATAGAAACAAAAGGGCAATGAAAACCACCACTCTATAGTTTTAGTGATTCATTCAAAATGACTTGTGAAACGGCTCCAATTAAAGAACTGTTAAGTTGTTGCTCAGCTGCAGCAGATATTGAATGTTCTCTGCTGTAGGTCAGAGGTGTTTGTGTGGTGGTGATGACTTCTGTAATCACAGAAATCAAACCACTCTCTGTGGCATTTTTACAAAATAGAATTAAAATTAATAAGGGAGTCATTATTCTCCTATATCTCACTTGTTGTGTTGTAAATCAGCGGTGAATACCTGGCACGGACGCCTTAATCCTGATAACAGCATCGGAGATTTATGATAGTGTTGTGCCTAAAAATAGGTCAACAGGACAGGTGTTCTCATGTGGCGGCATGTCTCCCCTGCCTGCCTGTCTCCTCTCACATTTATTTGTCTCCTCCTCACTCAGTTGCCGAGAAACCAAAGCCAGAATGAAGAGTGGAGGAAGTGAGCCAGAGGTGGCTTCCATCTCTCTGTACGTCCTTCACTTTTCGTCATTGAAGTTCTATGAGCCTCTGTTGTCACTGCAGGTTTGTGCAGAGACAGACGACCATATGCCAACCACTGTCTCCTCCTTTCCAGCGCTGGTGTAAAATAAGAAAAATGAACGGTGTTTGGTATCTGTATATATTGATTTCCCTGCAGCACTCTAGTAAGATTTTTATATATTAAGAGCGAAGGGCCTGCCTGCAGAAACACTAATCATCATTACTGTTGACTGTTGATTTAGATCCCGTTTGCTTGTGAGCACAAGTTTTGTTCTTATCATTCCGACTCATGGAGGATGCTCGTCTAAAGATTTCTCGTCATCGTTATCCGCTGATTTCCGAGAATTTCATCATAATGATAATAATTCCAGTCTAACATGGTCATAAATTCAGTGATCACCAATCATTCTAATGGAAGTTAACCTCTATAAGCATCCTGGCGTCTGAAGATGCACACTTAATCTCACAAATAAAGACTTTTTTCCAATCCTCCACTACATCTGTGTTTATCTGTCACTCTGTGAAAGTACAGAAAATCATTCTTTGGAGAGTATTACACTTGAACTGAATAAAAACATGTTTTTTTTCTTTAGTAATTTACTTTAGGCGGCGCACACACAAATGAAAGGATTTGTGTGTTTCTGTTCTTGATGTAAAATAATTTATGGAAAGTTTTCTTAGATGGTGGAAAACGGTCACGATTTTTGCCCCTTTAAAAACAGATAAAATCTCAGGGAGCCCAAGCACAAAGGCTAAAGAGTCTCATGTGAAAAAAAGTCATCGTTCTTGTCCTATTGTTTGACAAATAGATGTTGAAAAGGAATGACCAAATTAAAGGTTTCAGTTTCTTCAGAATTACAAAACGAAAACTATCATCATTTGTTGCTACTAAAGTTGTATGTGAGTTGTCTGTGGGGTGTAAATAAGTAAAGAAGTCACAGGACACTTTGGTTGTTCAAATATATAATCTTAGCTCAGTCATACAGATATATACATTGTATAATAAATAATATTTATAAAAACATAACATTTACGATTATAAAATAAAAAGGGAATTATTCACTTTAAAACATCTGTACAAAACTTTGGATATAGCGGGGTAGAAGTCACGGGTCGTGGGGCCATGGAGGGAACCAAACACAGGATGTAGATGGATCCAAGGTGGAAGGAAGACTTTGGGGGGAAAGGAGAAGGGCTGCGTAGAAGGTGACGCAAATGCTAAGTTATGTCACACACAGAGAGGAGTACTTTTACTGGGTAACTTGTGTTTGTGCTGCTGAATATAATTAATAGGAAGACGGTGGGACTGTCAGAACATGTGTAGAAACCAGTGTTGTAAAAGAAAAAAAAAACAGCCACATCCATCCATCCATCCATCCATCCATCCATCCATCCATCTCTCCACTTCTGTCACTAGCAGCCATCATGCTTAGACAAACATCAACATCTCACACAGCTGTTTTCACGTTTTCAGGATCAGGAATCAAGAGTTGTTCAACATGAGTTGTTCACTAACCCTCCAAAATTCCAACTATATTTTACCTGAAGTATATTTTATAGCACTGTTAAAAAAGATTCAACTGAAGCTGACATCCGTGTCAAAAAAAAAAAAAAAAAAACAACCAAAAAAACACTTTATTAGAGAAAAAGACTTGAAAAAGAAATGATTAAATAGCTCAACTAGCTACCCAAAGAAGGATTTTAGTGTTTGCTCCCTAATTTTTAATCTCTTTTTTATCTTTATATGTGGTCCTGCAAAGAGTTCTTGTGGCTGTTTCTGTGTAACAGCTTAGAATACTGACTTAAATAATAGGAATTTTCCCAAAAGATGCCTGATTTTAGAAGATTCAGTGCTGACAAGAGCTAGATAGATAGATTAATAAAGCTTTTTTTTTATTTATTTTTGAAGACATACATTTTGGATAAGAAAAACAAATTCTAACCTGAATTTTAACATTCAGTGTAAGATGGAAAGAAGTTTGATATAAACAAAGTTTTGGCTCTCTTTAGAAAAAGTAGCAATATCAAATATTTGTTAACTCATTTTTATTTGTAACTTGAATATTACCACAGAGTATAAAATTAGATTTCCAGATTTTTTTATGTATCTCTGAACTTTTTCTGTAAATATTTTGTCAATTTAAGCTCAAAACAAAAGTTGGTCAAACCAGGACTGGCTGCAAAAGCATTGACCATCTTATTGGCTTTAATCAGTGATAATTATATCTACTGTATCTACTTCATTTAATCTTCCTCAGTCTGCAGGACAGTGTACTTGAAATTATAGTCACTCATTGAAACATGGTAGTTAAAGTATAATATAAGGTGTAAGAGGAGAAATTTGACTCTTAAGAACAATGCGCTAATGCTACCTAAACAGTAGGAATGTTTTGGGTTGCACTGACAAGACTAAAAGGTTAATAAATCAGACTTCCATGTCTAATGGAGAGAAAATATGGAGAGAATGACAGAAGGAAGGTTCTAGTCTGCACTCTGGTTTCCACATGTCATCACATGTCCCCCTTCATTTTTATTACTGTGATAAAAGCAAAGATTTGCTTCCATTTGGACCTGACGACTGCGTGAAGCATTAGATAAAAACTACTTTGCTCACTTTAGTCTCAAAACCCAGGACGAACGCAGAACGTGCCAAGACTCGACCCCAGTCTGATGTAAACGTGTATAGATGAAACACCGTAAATTATCTCCTCCTCGCTTGTGCTATTCCTGCACCGTGTTTGGTGGTTGTGGCGACCGCAAGGCTCTCCGAAGTGAATTAAGTCATAACGTGTTGCGTCACATTTGTGGAAAACCATGAGCAATCAACAGGTTGATCGGCCTCGCAAAGCGAGCATTTCTGCAGAACTGTGTTACTCGTAACTGTGGGCTCATATTTTTTTTACCGCTGAGGATTATGTCTGACTGAATAGTGCATACAAATACATGTGTAGGGTTGTTGTGGAACGAGCATGTGGTTCGCACACATGCTCCCGCTCGCATACCTCCACTCCCAGCCTATTGGTAATATGTCAGAAATGCAAGATATAAAATCAGGCTGTAGCGTATATCTTCTGGGCTTCCCAGTCGACTGGTGCAGCAGAGTTGGTCAGCAGGGAGGAGTGAAAAACAAAAACTGAGAAAGTCATCAGCTCAGTAGTCTTAGTTCAGTTCAGTAGTCACAAAGTGATAGTTTCCTGGAGGGTTGGTGGCTGCCAACGTGTTCAGTATCACTTAAAGGTTGGTTTAGTTAAAAAAGAAGAAACAAAAATCAATAAAAACAGCCCAGACTGGCCAGAGACGTGAGGTGTTAGTTTACTCAAAAAGCAAAGAGTCTGAAAGTTTGTGTTTTACTGCATTAATCTCACAGGTAAAAAGTTGTTACGGAACACGCCACGAGATGTGTTGGTGGCATGAAGTGGGGAAATAAATAAAGACAAGGGGGCAGGAAAAGGGGTTGGGGTTGTGGCCCAAGGCAGCAGGGAGAAGAATCACCACTTAAACTTCTTCCAATCAGAGCAGACTTTTCTAAGCAGGTCTGGTAAAAACTGTGATATGAAAAATGGATTCTACAGAAGTGAGCTCAGTCAGTCAGAGCTCAGTCATCTCCCGATGAGTGTGTTTATGTAAATGTGTGGAGAGACGGAGTGAAGGGGTCAGTGAGTGGGCAGCACTTGCAGTCCGGCATTCAGTTTGTCTAAAGTCCCAAGCCTCTTTGGGTTCACTTACACGTGTGCACGTCATACACGCGCACGCACTCCTGACAGCTGACGTAGCAGCACCAGTGGAAGATGCAGTGACACTTCTCTTTGCGTTTCTCAGTCCGGGTGTTGTGGCCGCGGCCGCAGCACAGCAGGTCACAGCCCTCAATGCCGTGCGACGACACGTTGCAGACACGGTCACGCGTCCCAAAGGAGCCCGTCTCCTGGTTGGGCTCACAGAAATTTGGCGAGCCCTCGTAGTAGACCAGGTCACGCTCGGTGGGGTGTTTGAAGAAGGCGTATTTGACTCGAAGCGTCTCCACCCAGCCTCGGGACTCCCGGTGCTTCTCCACCACCATCTCTGAGGCGCTGTCGTACTTGTCCTTCAGGTAGTCACCCAGCATGCGGAAGTCGGGTTGCGCCCACCAACATGTTTTCACCTCACAGCTCCCTGAGAGACCATGACACTTGCAGCGAAGATGCATGTGGTCCAGGATGGTCTGAGAAACACAAAGAACACAATCGAAATCTGTTATGGCCTTCAATGTTTTAGGTTCTATGAAATCCTAGAAAAAATCTTTACTTGTGGCATGACCAAACTTTTTTTCACGTGTCCTATATTTAAATCTTTAACAGAGAATTCATTCCTTGTAGAATTCTAAGGGTCACAACCTGCTACTTTGTCTGGTCTGCGGACTGAAATCCAGTTTCTTTTACATAAATGTTCTTTTGGTTTTGTGAAAAGAACTGTTTTCACTCCATCCTATTCTTTTGAAAAGAACTTCATTTCTAGTCATTTGTAGTACAAGGTCTAAGTAGATCTTTGTTAGAAACACCTCATGACTGAAGAGCACCTTTATCTCCAAACTACTGAGCTACCGTCACTCAAATGCAACTGATAAGACTAATCACATTAGGTATCACTGCTCTGTGATGTCTGATGATCTTCAGGAGTCCATGGAACCTCCTAGATACTGTTGGAAACATCGCAACTGGTCATGCTTCTCAGGTCACTGGGGTCATGAAAGGAGCAAAACCTTCAACTCTGCCAGTCCCCACCGTGCTCTTGATGAAATCTGCTAGTAGCACGTTCTCAGGCAATTCAGTAAATGCATTAACCAAACCGCTAAAGATTTCACAGATCGGGCCAAGAAAAACAAACATGCCACTGGCTGCAATTCATTTAAGTGTCATGCAGCTGTGAAGAACAGAGAGCCTGCGCCGTTGCTAATCTCTCTGAAGTTACTGACTCATATCAAGAGTTTGTCGCCTCAGGCCACATTTTACCTTAGGTTTTTATTTGTTTATGCTTTAATTTAAACCGCTATATTTAGGCGCAGAATTCCCCCAGATTGGGCGGAAGGCAGGTGGCTGTGGCACCTCTGGGTGAGGACGAGCAGGGGGAGGGAGCGGGGTGCACGCCTGCATTAGTGACATCACACTGTGAGGCATGTCATGCCAACATCAAGTCACAGAGGCCCCTAGGGCTCAATAATGGAGTGTGAGACGGCCAGGTGGAGACGAGACTCCACTCCTGACACTGCTGCTGTTCACTTAGCTCCTGTGGTCTCCTTGACTGCTCCTGTGTACTCAGATCAAAGCCCTGCCTTGTTGCCGTGTGGTCCCTCCATTTGCCCTTCAGCGAGCAGCCAGGGAGCTTATTTTCTCCTAGTGGTGACAGCAGTCAGTGATGTTTTAAGTCTGGGTTGATTTCCTTCTTTGTGCCCCCTCCTACGTCCCTCCTTCTCCTGCTCCTTGAACCAGCTTGGTAATTTGACTGTCGGGTTTTTTTGTTGTTGTTGTTGTTGTTTTCTTTTTGATTGGGATGCAGGGCACGAAAGGCAAAGATGTGGAGAGCGGGGGCAAAGCATGGTTGAGGGTGTTGTTAAGATTAGTTATTAAGCAGTCATTCAAAGTCAAGTGCTCATTTTCAGGTGAAAGCTAAGTCAAACAGCCAGTTCCTCACCTGTCACATGACACAATCAGTAATCCTCAGGGGACTGTGACAAATCCACTACATCTGTGATGCAGTTTGATCCTCAGCCAACTTTTTTTCACCTTTTGCTGCAGTTTATAACACGGCACTGCGCTGAGATTGTCCAACTGCTGTGATGTATCACTGTGCTGAAGAGAACAACCAGCTGACTGCACAGAATGTACACAACGGCCGAGGCTGCGTTTATCCTGCAGAGTCGGTTAAAGACACCCAGAACATCTTGTAAATGTTAAAACCGCAACTGTCAGCTGAGTTTAGTCTTGTTGTATCTGATATGTACACTATCTGAACAAAAGTATGTAGGATCCCTCTGCGTTTACCTCCATTTAGTTTGAGCTCAGTTTTATTTTTAGTCAAGTGAAGTCATTATTTGATGAGGACCATTTCCTGTCTTCACACCAGTGTCCCTGGACACACGGCTGGAATCATTAGGAATGGGTTTTCCACTGAGAGAGAAGAACTTGACAAGCCCACACAGATCCTTGACCTTTCGAGTGTATATACGTATGTATAGGTATATATATATACACGTATATATATAGACAGTGGGAACTTGAGATACGAGCTACCGGAAGTACCAGTTTTCCAAATTATGACTAAGCAACTTTTGCAAGATTTTCCTTGTGATACGAGAAAACATCGAGTCATGAGTGCTCAACCGAGATCCATTTCTACTCAACACTGTCGCACTGTCTCGCTCACTCTCCATTGCTAATTATTAGTATATTTCTGGGTGGCTGGAATGAATGAATTGGTGTTTAATTATTTTTAATGTGGCAAATGTAATTGAGAATGTGTAATGTGTGGATCGACATACGAGTGCTGATGTGGAACGGATTAAACTTGTATCTTGAAGCTCTGTTGTATATGTGTGTGTGTGTGTGTGTGTGTGTGGTCCTAATGAGGGTGTCACTAGTACAGGGTTGAAAAACAGTTCAAATGAAAAAACTGCAGCTGTTGAAAATCTAAAACCATTTCCAATCATCCAGTTTTCTGTCCAGGTTTATGTTTAGCTTAGTCTATAATCAACACCGCCTTCCAGCAATAAGGATTTAGCCTCTTAGCTTTGAAATAAAGAGCAAATGTGCAGCTATTTTGAACTTGTAAGTTTACCAAACTTTAAAAAAAGGAAAATTCCATAGGGGTCTGCAGTAATCCATATACTGGTTAATGTGGCCCATGTAATGGCATGTCAAACCCTTGATCAGTTCCATGGACCAAAAACACAAAGTAAAACAAAAATTTGTACACAAATATGCAAAAGAAACCCTTCCCAACCCATTTACCGTGCGTCCCGCTTCGTTGTTGTGCCGGTTCATTGCTGAGCGAGCATCAGGTCGGTTCTCCCTGGCATCAGCAAACTCTCTGGACACCAGCACCCCAAACTCGGCATCTTCGCTGCAGCCACCCCACTTCCAGCCCTCCCCAGGAGGTCCCTTGTGGTGGGAGTCACAGCCGCACATGGTGGACGTTCCCTCGGCGCAGGAACGTGTCACTGCGAATGCCACTCCTGCTGAGGCTATGGCGTGGACAAACGCTGACTCCCTGGTAGCTGAGAGGGACAGGTGAAGACAGGAAGAAAAAGGGAGAGAAATGGGGAGTGTGTCAGTTTCGTGTTCAACATGCACAACCCAATCTGTACTGCTGCCATCATCCAGACAGAAGCAGTGAAAGGAGTCGCTCCGGGCGATAGCCTTTTAACATTTCAGCTCTGAGAAGGCATTTATGTGCCTGTGAAGGCATACCTCCGAATGATACTTTACAGTATGAAATGAGATGATGTTTACTCATCACCGTTGATGAGCAAACATCACACACACACACAGGGCACATGAAGGTGCCTTAAAGCAGTGACATCAGCCTTTTGTAGCTGTGTCAGAGGGCCTTAATGCTCAGTGGGATCTTAGTGACCTCCTGTCATCCCTGAGGTGTGCTGCTTTGCATCTGGATTGTGTTTCAGGAATGTTGTCCCCTCCTACCCACCTCCACTCCAACCCACACACCCACCTTTCCCTGTTCAGAGCCTAAGGCCTCCTGGTGAAACCTAGCAGTGTGTCGGTCTGCTTTTTTTACACTGAGGGATGGAGTTACACTTCCTTTGAAGGCAACAGCTTATTATGTAACCAGACACCATTGTTTCACAATCACAGCACACTTACTGTAGCTCACCTATTACACTGTGCTAGGTCTGTTACAGACATGCAAACACACACGCTCACACAGGTTCACACAGCCAGGACTCTGATGTCACTTCTTTGGATTTGTGTATTTCACAAGTTAAGATAAAAAAATATCATTTGTTCCTTGGTTTTGTGGTGACTTCATGTCTAATTGACATCTGTTTCATCATTTAAGTTAAAGAAAGCTACAACCTCGTAAGAAAACAGCCATTATTAGCTGGTATAGCAAAACACACACCAGTATGTTCATAACCATTACTGAGCTCAGGTCTTTGACACTATATAACCTGACCCAGAGCCACAGGTTTGATTGGTTTGGTTCTTATTTCTTACCAGGACCTGTAGTCCTTTTTACCCAATTAAACCACTGTGAACGCAACAAATATAAACAGGCACACACAAACAGAGGGATAAAAACGGCTCTGACTGACATTTATTATTTGTTCAAACACGACCAGAAAATGGTGTTTGTATTTTTGAGACCGCAGCCGATGGTTAAAGCCAGAAAATTCCTCAGCAGCTCTGCTGCCAAGCAGGCCGCAGAAGCCACAGATAAGAAATTTACTCATGTGTTTTTTTGTAAATACTACAGTCCCTAACCACTGTTTATTTGACTCATAATGTAATATAATTTAAAGCTATATACAATGTGGAACAAAAGCCTCGGGCCACTGTGTTGCTTTGGCAACATTTGATCGACCAGGGAAAACAGGTCTGGCTATTAAGATACGTAGAGGATATGACGGCTGTGTGTTTCAACAGACTCCTCAGTCAAGAGTCAGAATTTATTTTAGAGACTGTCCAAACCTTTCTAAAACAATTCTGTGTTATTCTTGAGTAGGCCATAACCAGCGCTTCTCAGTGTTCTTGCTTTAAAGTTGTAGTATGTAGAATTGTTCTCCTGAATAAACTATAGAATAAATCACAAAAATATAATTCTTCTTATATCTTAGGTTTATTATAAAGAATGTGACGACTGATTCTGCAATGCTTTATATTTGTTTGAGGTTGATTTTTTTCAGTATAAGTCTAGGGTTGTTTTTGTTTTTAATTGGCTGATTTTTTTTTCTCAGTGTGACTTACTGATTGATTAAAGATAAATAAAACAAACGAAATGTAACAGAAGAACTTCAGAAGAACGCAAACATACATGGTCATCTGACAGGATGATACACTGTTTGGTCTGATTTCTCTTCATTTTGAAAGTTTCTTCAAACTGCCTCACTGTTGGCAGAAAAGCATCTTAAAGGATACAGAGTGTTTTTTTAAACACGATAGGAAAAAGTGAGTTTTTGAGCAGCCTGATTAGCTTAGCTTCAGAGGAGACTGGTGGCCAGAGTGTGCAGTAAATGTCTAAACACACTTTATTGGATTATGAAGTGCAATTTAAACATCATTTTTATTTGGTACAATTTTCATTTTTGTGGTTTAATTTTAAAAAATGTTCTGTACTTTTAGCTGTTGTCTTTAGAAGCTCTTGGGTTTTGTGCATATTCCCATATCCCTATAAAATCTACCATGATTGAGGCCCTGATAATTGATTGTTATTATTGTGAATCTGAAACATTTAATCCTGAGGTGATCTCAGACTCTTGCTCATATTTATATCCAGGACTCACTTAAGCCTTAATAGTGGCTGCAGCAGGTAATCGATTTACTGATATCTGCTACAGTTTGTACACTGACCCCATTTATTTTGGGCTTCTGAGTGGTGATGAGTGGCTTGGTGAAGAATGGAAACTTCGAATTAAGTGTCTCGACCAGGGACACAGACAGAGCTGGCTCTGGAGTGTTTAAGTTCACCTCTTCTACTACAGAAATCACAACATGTTTTCACCTAGCCCCCTTGTTCACCTGCAGTTTTAGATGAGACATGAGACAGTTCTAAGGTTGGGCATCCCAGTTCACCCTGGCAGGACTAACTGGGTCCTTCACACCATGGTTCCTGGCTGTTAGCCAAGGCTAGCTCTGCTCCTGCTACCTGCTGGGCCCATCAATCCGCCTTTGTTTCCCTTGTGTCACACTGTATTATCTGCACAAAAGGCCCAGCGACTCACGCCCCCACAGCCCAGTTCTGCCCAGAGCTGGCATTCCCTAAACTCCCCAACTCCCTCCCCTCTCTGCCTCCAGCCACCCCCCACCAACACCCTCAGCTGAAATCCATTATGCACCACCTCCGACTACAGGACCTTCCTCTGCCACTAGAGACATCCACATCAACCACCACCTTTGCCAACTCACAGCTTAGGCATCAGCTGAAGCTGGTGGTTGGTATTTCTTGCCTCCCTAGACGGAGCACTTCCATGTATCATTCCTAATTCTTACATCCATCACTTCCCTGTCCTAAAGTGCACACCAAGGCAAGATTGGGAGAGATCCCCTTTCAGCCTGTTTTCAGCCTGACAGAGTCAAAAGGGCGTGTGAATGGGACGTTCGTGGGAGCTGGACTGTGTGAGGCGAGCACTGGTCTTCATGCACAGTAGGGGTTGAGCGGAGCCCCCCGGCCCTTTTCTATTGCCTGTAATCTCATTTGGCTTCCCCTCTCCCTTTTATTTGACTATGGAGCCTGGACCGTTCACACTGGCCATTTCTGCCCAGATTCATTCCCCTCTGACACACTGGGTAATTCATTTCCAATCAGCTGCCTCACTCGCAACACTCAGACCTCTACTTACCTTTATAATTAGGGATGGCAAATCCCAAAGCAGGACACCTGCACCTATTCTTCTGCCCTGACAGGTATAGTGGGACACTAAAAGGACAATTAGCGTGCTGTGTCTGAGAGTGCCTCACGGATGTGTCCACAATATCATCTGTACTTGTCTGGTTTTGTTGACGGATTTACCGTGTTGACCCTCTGTCCTGTATAAATGTGTAAACACTGTTGTGGAAGAAAAGGCGAAGGGACAACCCTGCCTCTGGAGAAAAATGTGAATGTTGATGGTGAAGGTGCAGTTGAAGGGGTTTAATGTGTCAGTGCTTGTACCTGCGCTCATTTCTCACTGCAGCCAGGAAAGGTGTATATTATTGTAATTGCTCAAGCTAGTCAGCAGAAGCTCAGAACACAGCAGTGCTCAGCCTTAGGGGAGAACAGTGGTAAGTGCTGTGTTTTGTATCAGCTTGCTATAGCCTCAGCTACACAGCCTTAGATTTTACAGTCAGGAGCTGTTTGGCATAGATACACTCAGATCATAATTTATTTCATTCTCAGAGCTCTGTTTCTTTTTCTTGGAGGGCACGTGTGTGCAACATTACAGAGTAGAGCAAATAAGCATTACTGCCACTTGTCTTTTTTTCTCGGAGCTGGACTTGTACCTTTATCTAAGACAGGACCAAAGATTGCCAGGTTGTCCTTGATGGTGGTGCAGTTCCATCTTCGCCCTCTGAACTGGTGTTGACATTCCTGGATCCCCAGCTTGACTCCTTCGGCGACACTGGGCATGATCTCGATGTAGTTGCGGCAGAAACGTAGCTGCTTGGGTACGAGACCCGGGATGGAGCCGCACAGAATTGGTTGGGAGCCCAGAGACGAGTACTGCTGCCCAAGGGCCAGGGACCTGTGAGGCCCAGAGAAAAAGAGAGAAGGCTTCATATTCAAGCATAAGAGTTTTATGCATAGCATGTCAATAAATACTGAAACCTAATTGATCCAGAAATGATTTAACACTTTTGATTGGTTGCTTGGGTTTCTGATTAATTAATGGATTTGTTGATTCAAGTTATATCCCAGATTATATATATAAGAAATAGACGTAACCATTTTTTGTTGTTTAAAATTTTGTTGTTTATTGACCTTAGAAAAGCTACTATTTTTCCTTTGGGGATAACTTTTTTTCAGTTGTCATTACATATGTATATATATCAGAAAACTGATAATACGATAATGTGAAAACCACAACATATATTCATACATATTTGGTGATTTAACATGTTCTAACTGCATTAACCCACAATATTTGACTGATAATTGACACAATTATTTTATACTACACTAATGCACTTTATTTATTACTATAAATATTTTGAAGGTCTATTGCAGTTTTCATATATTAATACACTGAAGAAATATTATCGTTTTTATTCAGTTTAATCATCATCATCATTCATCATCATCCTGTGAAAAGCCTCTACCACAGTCCAGGTCAGTGCACTGCGTGACTCTGACAGGAACCACTCTTGTATGTTTTAACTTCAACTGTTAGAACAACTCTGAGACAATACACTGATTGATACTCACGTGTAGTATTGACTTATCTGCCTAATGTCATTCACACTAGGAGATCCTGTTTATTTTGTCCCCTCTCTCTGCAGCAGTGGAGGCTGAAAGGCCCTCACTTCAGGGCAGGGATACAAGCTATTAGTTGTGACTTTTCAAAGTGTTCCCACTTGTTAGCATACACAGATCTGCTGATCTGAGAGACAAGACACAATAACCTGTCTTTGTGGTTTGGGAAAAGTCCCTTATACTGTTTCAAATATATGACAACACTTGCCCTTGTTGTTCCTTTGTTAATTAGTGGTTTGCCTGTGGAGCTGATGTTCTGGAGTGTATGTAGCACAAGAGAAAAAAACACAGGCTACGTCTCACCGTTGTGGCTCCTGCAGATTTGCCTTAGCAGGGAAATAATTGCTGCAGTGAGACAGCCAGGCTTGGCTGGTGATGCCAGTAACCATTATAGTTTCATTTGAGTCATTAATTTTAATTGCTTTCTCTTAAATAAAAGAAAGAGACAACATGTTTGCTGTGCCCTTGTTATTACATGCTTTTTTGTCATGACAAGCCTTAACAAAACTTTTTTGTTCCCTACGGAGGTTCAGGCATCTGTAGTAGGAGGTCAGATTTCTTGTTTATTTATTTTGGAGCAAACATAATGTCTTTAATAACTTAGTCAGTATGTACAGTATGGTGACAAAGACAAAACGTCACACCACTGTCGCACAGACGGGTAAACGCCCGGCTGGCGTCTGGAAGAACAACATGGCGCTACAAGCCATGGGAGAATTGCAGAGGGACAATTGACACAAAACAGATCAGAGCGCCACTCATGATGACCTCAGGACCCCCGCAGGGTGCAACCCAATCATAGCAACCGCTGACTCTGACAGATGAGTGCAGCGCAGCGCCCCACCCCAAAACAAAAGTCAAGCCATTGATGTCACAGGTAGAAAAAAAAACCCTTTAAGTTTCACAGAGCGTGCTCGTTTTTGCTCCATTCCAACAGCTTCTCCAAAGACCCTGTCCCCTCCCCCAGGACCCCTCCTCTGTACACTGTATTTGATCTCAGGTGATCATTGTTACAGCTGGCTCTGAGGGTTTAGAGTTTGCCAGAGGACCTTATACACTCAGACCTACGGCTAAGCTGCTTTGCTTTTTCAGCTGGTCCCATTTATGTACAGTCTGGTGATCACATGATCTGCTCTGAGTCACTCTGTGTTGTGAGCGTGAGTGTTCTCATTGACACTGATACACAACAAACAGCTCCCAGATCCTGAGGGATCACATTGTCAGACATCACGCATGAGGAGCAGAGTGTCACCGCTTATATCAAATGCACCCTGTGACATCACACACCTCTGCCCAGTAGTTCATCACAGGAGGAAAGGCTGAATGGATGCTTCCCTCTCTGGGCCCAGGCAGCTAATTGTAATTATTGGTTGCTGGATCGTTGACATGTCTGATGATTTTGGAGTTTGGATTTTATCATAAGTCAAATGGTGGTGGTTAATGCTGCTGCCTTATAGCAATATGATCATCAGCTGATTACCTGTGGTAACAGGTGGAGTTTGCATGTTCTCCATGAACGTGACTCTGAATGGTTGTTTGACTATATATGTGGCTCTCTCTTTGACTGATCAAATGTTTGGACCCATTTGTAATTATTTATATCCCTGCCTCTAAAAAGATGTCACTTTAGATTAAAAGCAACCTTTTTAGTTATAACCGCCTTCTACCATAAACCCTGTTACATAAACCTTTATTACAGATATAAAAGAAAACAAAGCATTAAAGATATAAAGGCACTTTCATTTCCAAACATTTTAGTCAAATGTTGATTGTGTTCATGAGGTTAATACTGTAACATAAAAATAATTGCATGCTCCTTTGGAAGCTAAGTCATTAATAAACAGGTTTGGGTTTAGTTTCTAACCAGTAGGTTTGGTCGACCCTGATGGAGAAAACAGATTCATTCCTGTCTCAGTCAACGCTGCTCATCAACCAACACTGGTCTTATTGTTGTTGTGACTTTAACCAGGTGAAGACACACCACATTAGCTCATGTGCCAGTTTCAGTCTCACCAGCACTGTGGAGTTTTAGTGTTGCTGACTTCACTCTGTCTGGTGACTAAGGACCCTAATTACACTGTCTGCTGGTTTAGTTACTGCCCATTCATTTCTCAGTGGTAGGATGGACCAGGGTCAAGAATGCCTTGCACAGAACTTGGATTTGAACACAGTAATAAAATCTCTCAGGTAATTAAAAGGAAACTCTTTCTCATTGACATTAAGGTAAAATTGCGTTCGGTCGAAGCTGCCGACCTTTAGTGACATTTCAGCCTCAGCAGTTCTCACGTGTGCTGCCTTCACCTACTGGTGAATCTGGGATTTCTGGTGGAATCAATTATCTAACCACATGGGACTTTGCGGTGGTCGTAGCATGTTTAGACTGCAGTCTGCGGATCTGCCAGCCTGTTTGTCTTTGTTTGCAAAGGATGTGCATCATTTCATCCATATGGACAGATGAGATGAAAGGAATATCTCTATGGAGAGGTGCTAATGAGAGTCTTAACCCTGCAGGGTTGTAAGGCGTATCCTGCAAACAGACACACACACGCAGACTGATGCATGTAGACCACATGTGTGCCACGCTGATCCCCTTATGTTCAGCCTCGCTTCTCGTAAGCCAGAAGCAACGTGTCTCAACCCAGTGAGGGAGCAGCAGCGGAGGCAGAGACCTCCGCAGAGGCAGAACGCCGGGGGAATCTGCTTCGGGGGATGAGACGAGCAGCAGAGCGGCAGTGAACAGCGGGGCTTGGCAGGTGCAGGCCCAGGCAGGTCCTTGTGGGGCCTCTGCTGGCCTGCGGGGAGTTTATGGCTTGGTCTGGGTTTTTTCTCACTACCTTAAACTTTCCTGATGTGTCATGTAGCAGGAGCATGATGGGCCACTTCAGCCACAAAAATGCAGAAGAGGAAAAAGCAATTGCACCACACACCGTGTGGAAATCCATTCAATTAGGACTAAAACGAATGTTGGCAATAACAAAAACATTGTAGCCCTCTTTGCCTCAACCACTCCCAGTGGTTTAAAATCATTGATGGAGATCTGCACTGCCAGGACAGACAAGTTTACTTACACCAGTTTCTTTGTTACATCTTGTTTTTGTTTTGTCGGTGACTCAGGAGGTGAGTCAAAGAATCTTGTACTGTCAGAAATAAGAAGCAGCTGCTAATGTGGGAGGTCTGCATTACAGGGGTCAGTGTGTAGCACATGTCGGTGCACACGAGGGCTCACACTGTGTGACAGCCACTCATGTCCAGAGGCACAAACAGCACCAGGTGAACCTCTGAACCTGGTTAGGAGACACATGACACATGTCCTCACTGCTGTCAGCAGGAGAGACTGTGGACGAGTCTGAAGGACATGAGGTTGAACCTGAGAGTTGGTCTGTGTGCTTCGTTAGGGTCATTAGTCGTCTACCTCGTTACAGTGAAGTGGTGTCTCTCAGGGACGACAGAGAACCTTCACAGACGACCAGACTGCTTCTAGTACATTTAGATGAAGGTGAAGTTTCATGCTGTGGTTAATTCTTTTCAAATGATGTCTGGTTTCAAATGTTTTTTTCTCAGGTTATCCTGAGAGCATGCGGCTGTCAGTCCTCAAAGAGCTGTAATGTGAATGTGTATAATACACACATTCAGCAGCAGTTTCCACCCTTAGCACTGAGTCACATACCTGTCTTTTGTAGCTAAAGAACTGACGATAAAGAAATATCTGGAAAATAAATCCATCCTTTCTTGCAAGGACTTGTTTGTGATGACCTGACCTTTGACCTGTCATGTTTATTATCGCCATTTGGCTTCTTCTAAACCCAGTACACACAGATATTGAAAGACCTGCCTGAGGTTGGAGAAATGCACTTGAACATTAGGACAAAATAATTGAACGTGTTTTGTTTCTGTTTTAGACCTGGTCAGTGAATATGACCTGTTACTTTGTTTTCACACTGTTGCTTCCTTCTATTATTATTATTACCATTATTATTAACTGCTGTATCCCTAAAATACAAATACACTACATATATACATTAACTTAATTTAGGATGCTTCACTGTAATAAAAAAAAACTCTTATAAAAATAAATGTACAATTTTCCAATGAAAATGTATATCTAAGATTGAAAAAAACAAAAATTAAAAAATATCAATCATTTTGGAAACAATTTCCTCTTTTAAAATAGTTCAATTGTTTGATTTTTGAAGTTTACTATTTAGTAATTGTGTTCTTTATTTATTTATTTTTAAATTAATACCATGTCCCTGCCAGTGTAGTAGTTAGTTAATTCACTGTACTATGACTTGTGCAGTCATTCTGGTCATCATCATATGTCTTTGTATTGATTCATAGTACTTTCAGAGGCTCCTTTTCTCTTGGAAGCAATACATGAAATATATTTAAAACAAACTTTTAGATGTGATGAAAAGTCTGTCGCTGGCAGGTGAAGCCGCTGTGGTTACTTTGTTTCGGCTACACTCGTCCTCCGTCAGGACAGGTTAGAGGAACTGGGAGTTAATTCCACGTTTGCAGGGGTTCAACATGGAATTATGAAATGGCAAAGGAAGTCGCTATTTGTGAATCATAAAGGAAAGGAGGATGATGAGAGATTCGTCTATACAGTTTTCCTTAGGCACTGTTCACAGACTGCTATAAACCCACGTAGCCTACATGAAGCACACAGTATTGCCTGTACTTGTTGCCTTTGTGCTTTCACCGTGTTCTGTGTGCACCTGTGTGCACTCTTCACAACGGCCTTGGGTTCTGTATCTGGGTTTGTGCTGCTGTGACGGAACATGCTGAAAACTGTTGATGATATCAGTTTTTATTTTGCTTAATCACACACCAGTTCACTCTCCAGACTCAAGACGTTTCATTCTGCACCATACAAAGTGGATATAGAGAAAATCATTTTGGATCACTTTCCAGTTTTTATGAAATTCATATTTATCTTCAATTATTTGCCCCTGTTAATCACTTTTACGAGCTACACGTTATATACAGCACATATGGAAGCTCTAAATATTTACCTTAATTATTATTGATCATTATTTACAAATAAAAATAGAATTATAAATGTCACAAAAGTTCAGCGGCACATAAAAAAGTGTTGGAATTTACTCAATTAATTCCATGGAAAGGAGAAACGTTAGCCTGGAGTTCTTCTCCTACACTGTCTTTTATTGCAGTGAAAGACTAAAAATAGCATTTGCATTAAATTCAAAAGTCTACCTCTGATTTACCTCTATATATTCAAGCTACAGCTCAACCTGTCAGATTTGCCTGCGGGGGGCGTAATGTTGCTAAATGAAGCTCTATGAGAGAAGTCAAAGACATGCTCCGAAACAAAAAACCCCAACCATCAGAACCTCATTTAAAAATCTCACATTAGAATCTGCTGTCAGATAAAGACTCAAAACTGAGTAAGTGGGCCAAGCCCAGCCCCAGGATGGGACTTTCTCCTGGCAGAGGCTGGAATGCAGAGCTTCTGTCTGTGTGTGTTTTGTTTTTTTTGTCGTCTGTTTTTCTTTGGCACACTTTTGATTTGCAGTCTGGCTGATCAGATAAAAAACGACAGGACCCCTGAGAAATGTTTCAACCTGTTTTACCTTCCTCTGCTCAGTGGAAGGCAGTGTGCAGTTGGGACAAGGAGCCCCTGAAGTCACAGAAATCAAAACACGATGAGGGAAACCAAACAAAAAGTCTACAAAAACTGCCTGTGCGCTGAGTCTTGTTCCCTAGTCTGCCTCTAGGTGGACACCACAGAGTCCCAGCCGTTGTCTCGAGAGGACACAGCTGATGTGAATGAGTCGTGAAAGATTATGAATGAACCAAAAACATGATGCTACTCATTAGCGGCGTCTGGGCACCAGTGCCTGTGCTCTCTGTAGAATACTACCTATGTAAATCATAACTCAAAGTAGAAATCCTTTGTTGTACATCTGGAATTTCTTTAGCGTAACGTAATAAAAAAACAAAAACGCTTTTGTTTTGCTCGTGCTTGGAACTGGAGAAATATGCGATATCACATTGTTGGGCGCGAACCCAGTTTTTGAAGACTGCCAGTTGGCAGATACTTCTGCCAACTGGGGGTAATGATGCCCAGCTGCCTTGAGCTGTGGCTTCAGGTACTTTACTAAAACCTGCTGCTCCACAGACATATCTTGACTTTGTAGTTGTCTTTCATACCAGTGTGTCTGATGAGGTGTTGCTTTTGTGGTGCAGGGTGAAATGTTTTTTTGAGCCATTTTTTTTGAGTCATTAGGACATAAATACCAGGTTTTAAAAGTAACGTTG